TATCTTTGTCTCTGTATCTATCAGTAATAGTATTATAACGTTTGAAAATGGCAAATTATTATTGTACTTTAATCGTACTGCATTCAAGGTTATTTTGAAATTGATTCATATGACTGTGTCTTCATTACTAAGAAATTCTTTATTATCTTTAATGTGATATAAGACATTGATACGGTTTATTAAAGTGAATTTCTAAAATGAATCACAAAATACCTTATCGAATATCCATACCTTGTTTTCATAGTCTTTACTATAGTTCTATTTAATCATGACAAATTATTTGGCAACTTAGTATTATCAGTATGGGGTTGTGAAGATTATTAAGTTTCTGATTGAGATCATGAACCGATTGGCGTTAGACCACCATTGAAAACTTGGAAGCACTGGACGACCGTTTCGTCTTATTGTGGGGCTCCTCAGAAGTGTGCACCAACGATCCCGCTCGCGGGATTCGGATCCAGGGCCTTTGGTCGCATGTGAGAACGCTTAATTCTACGAGCGGGATCGTGGATGTGCACACTTCTGAGGTGCCCCACAATGAGACGAAACGGTCGTCCAGTGCTTCCAAGTTTTCGATGGTGGTCTAACATCAATCGGTTCATGATCTCAATCAAAAACTTGGTATTAAGAAAATAAGCCTAAGAGATAGCAGTGAAAATTAAACAAATGGCATATAATATAATTCATTGTGAAATTATTGTCGGTTTATTGAACTATTTTTAATCATAAGTATCTTGCTGACGGTCTTACGGATACTGACTTAAAAGATGAAATAAGGCAAAGATGGTTAAATAATGATCTTAAACATGCTATTTGCTACTTCATACTTAACATAAATATGTAAATAGACATTAATTTAGTAAATAATCTTTATTCACTGACAGCTAGATACAATGAATGTAAGCATATATCAGACGGTGTCCAGTGAAGGTTGGCTCAATCTTTAAGTTCTGTTTTCTTAAAGATTAACCTCAGTTGCGATTCAATTAAAAATTAGGATGAACTGGATAAGTATTTCGCCCTGGATAAAGGCTTTTCACAGTCCTATTATAGATTGAAATGGGGACCTTCAGGTCCCTTCGAGAAAGATTAACCACTAGAACAACTGGATAAGTGTCTAATGGAACAATTTCAACTCCGGTCCACTTGTGATGTACCGTCACTATCATCCAATGCCGTTTCTGAAATTTCTTTATTCCCAAGATGTCTGAATTACTCAAGGATTGCGCGGAAACACATAATTATTCGACAAATTTTTAAGAATAAGAAGCGTTATATCCGATCGAAGATTAAATTACGAGTAACTCCTGAGACATGTTAATTGACTAATATTATCTATACATTCTTATGGTATAACTATTCAATAATTAGATTATGTATATTTATATTCCTCTTATTATAAGCTTTATTTTGACCTATAATTATTATTGTACGATTTACTGTTCTTAAGCTATGTTCGCTTTATTAACTACTGCCTCCCACGTTCACAGCCACGTTTTGGCTTTATTGTGTACAAATGTTATTTCCTATTTTATGGTGCGTTGTGGTCTGTTTGATTGATATATAAACCCAGTATGTCTGAAATAAATGATTCGATTCGCATAGTGGAAGCTGTTATTGGTGTTCTGGACTCAAGTGGACGGGCCAGGCGGACATAGGACCAATAAGGGCGCTATGCTGCTCATACCGGTCGAACGTCATTGGTTTGGCACAGTTCTAAGATTGTATAAGTCGTATTTTGATTGGTCGATAAATCACGTAATAAAAAGCCGGACATAAACTCATAACAAGAAGTTCATGTAATAGGCATCAAGACTTTCACCTAAATAAAGTTGACATAAATGGAAATATATTAAATACTGAGAACGAACAGATGGTTTGTAATGTGACAGGAACACAAATGATATTCTTAATGCGATACTCATCTGCGCATATTTTCGAATACTATTCGTAACTGCGAAAAAAAACATTTCATAGAGAAGTAAATAGATTTGTCTAGTAAAAACACGTTGAGATTTATGCTGACAGCTTCATCTATTTGTGTAGCACTAGCAACTGGGTTCAGGTTTCAAACAAAATAATACGACCTATCAGTACGTACACAATTTCTCTAGTGTTATGCTGGACAAAACTGCGTCAGAAGCGTTATCACTAGGCCCGAAGTTTTGTGACTTTAAGAAAACAGTCAATAAAATGGACGTTGAAATTCAATTCGAAAATCTTTATGCTCAAACGTCAGATCTTGTAACTTCATCAAAAGATAATGTCGAAAGATTTAAGTCAACACTAGTCGACTGTTGTTTTAAATACATAAATCATAGACACAACACGAAAGGGATTTTGACGAAAAAACATACAGAAGCTCTAAGAAAACTTAAAACTAATGACAATTTATTAATCACGAAACCGGACAAAGGACATGGGATAGTACTCATGGATAAAAATGACTACATAAACAAAATGAAAGCCCTTCTAAATGATGAAAGCAAATTTCAGAAACTGGCTGTGAAAAACGACATAGCAGACAAGATCGAAAAACAACTAACTAATTCACTGAAAGAAATTAAACAACGAGGTTTTATTTCAGAAAAGGTGTTCGAAATGTTGAAACCTACAGGAACAATTACACCAAGACTATATGGCTTACCGAAAACACACAAAAGTGGCTTGCTCCTTAGACCAGTATTAGATATGAATAACTCAGCGTATCACAATTTAGCAAAATGGTTGGTGCAAATTCTTCAACCATTACACAAAGAAATTGCCAGACATAGCGTCAAAGATTCCTTTGAATTTGTGGAGAACATAAAAAATCTATCAGTCAAGAATAAATTCATGATATCACTTGACGTATCATCATTATTCACTAATATTCCACTACTCGAAACGGTTGAATTTATTTGCAATGAACTAACGGCGAGACGCATAGAAACCCCGATTCCCGCATGCGCGATAAAACAGTTAATTCTGAGATGCACTATGAACGTCCAATTCAGATTTGACAATGAATACTATAGACAACTAGATGGAGTCGCCATGGGATCACCATTAGGCCCTCTACTGGCTAATATTTTCCTTGCAAAACTGGAAAATGGACCACTTAAAAGTACAATTACCCATTTACCAACTTATTATCGCTATATAGATGATACCTTCATAGTATTAGAAAAAGAAAATGATAAGCACAATCTACTTAATATATTTAATAACGTTCACCCATCAATTAACTTTACATCAGAAGATGAACAAAATAATAGCATATCTTTTCTAGATGTCCAACTAACTAGAAGAACAGACGGAACTATAAAAAGAAGAGTACACAGAAAGTCAGCAGCTGGTCAATACACTCATTTCCACAGTGCAGTTCCAATCAGATACAAAAGGAACTTAATAAAGATCTTGACACATCGTGCTAGAATGATCTGTTCTGAAGACACTATTGAAGATGAATTGAACAATATTCGGAACCTACTCAGTCTGAATGGGTACCCAATGAAATTCATCGAAAAACATATGACGGAGAAGAAAACAAGGACAAAAATACCCACTGTCACCAAGAAGATATTATTCATAAAACTACAATTCATAAATGACTCCATTGAAGAAGTCATGACTCAGAAACTAAGAAGAGCGGTACAAAAAACATTTAATGCTGCCAAATTAAATGTCATCTACAACCAACCGAAAATAAGAACATCCATTAAAGACAGACTGCCAGAATTCGCCAAATCTATGTGTATCTATCGTTTCAACTGCTCCTGTGGAGCCAGTTACATAGGGCGTACAACTCGACAGGCCCGTCACCGCATTACAGAACATCATCCAACATGGCTAAGCAAAGGACAGGTGAAAGTGATTAAAAGTTCTATTCTCTCTCACTTGGTTGACACAGGTCATCAAGTCGAAGTGAATAAAGCTTTTAAGGTTATCTACAATATTCCATCAAATCTACTACATGGTTTACGAGTGCGCCTTTTGCACATTGCGGAAGCCATCGCAATCCATGTTCACAAACCTGACCTTTGCATCCAAAAGAAATTCGTACAACCACTTTCTCTCCCCTGGCCTTCAGTATAACATTTCCGTCAGAAGAACTATTTTTCATACTTCTTCCATTTTTATTTATTTTAAAATTTTTGTAATTTTGTTTCTATCGCTTTTGAGCCTTATAACTTCTCAACATTCATCTCTTGATTCTTACGTAACTACTATCCTATTGACCATCCAGTAAAATTCTATTCCTTCTTTGTTTCTTATATTACGCAACATAGCAACTTCTTGATTACTTTGAATATTAATAATCCTCTCTCTTCAAATTACTGAATGTTAATTTAAATGTCATTATGTAATTATTACGTAACGTATCCACTCGATGAGTATTATATTATTATTGTAAAACGTATATATATTAGTGTAGAGCCATGATGAAAAACTAATTGAAAAGAAATTTCTTCGCTCAATTCGTTCCTTCTTTACTAATTATTTGTAAGTAGGTTGAGTCCAGAACGCAAGTCTCGGCCTCTGAGATATGAATCATTATATTTCAGACATACTCTATTTATATACCAAACAAACAAACCACATCGTACCATAAAATAGAAAACAACATTTACACAATATTTAACAAGCGAAACAAATATCCACCAATAGGGAGTGCACATTTAAAGTCCAAGGTCACTGTTAGACTTAACATGATAATTATTGGTATATTCCTCTGCATCCCTAACACTCTTGAATCCTCATTGTCTCTTTATTTCTCTTTTCAAACTTATTACACTAGATTATACTCCTTGAATAACATCTCCAAACTCTAATCTTTCCGATTACTGCTTATACTCTTACCGCCTCTACTACTACGTGATTTGAGTCGACAATTGCATCTCTGTGCTAATGTGGTGTGGCAACTCGAAGTGATGTATGTACGTACGAAGTTCTACGTTGTTACTGATTGACTGACTTTATTTTTTCACATGAATTCCTTCCATTCAATGGAAAAAGAACAAACATTTCTATTTAATAAATATGATTTACAGATATTTACAAAATAAAAAAACACACAAATACACCATTCTATCATGGATTTGTACAGAAATAATATTTGAATCAAATAATTGCTGATATTATTTCTTCTTTTTCCTAACAATGAGATTACCTAAAACACAAGGGAAAATAAGTAAACAGTAATGTATTATTATTATCATCCAATCGTGTTAATGTTCAGCTTCAATCGATCCATGATCTCTAGTAACCCTTCATCAATTGTTTGAAGTGGTGTCACACCCGACACGGATTGAACTCCACAGGTCATAGCCTCTAAATAGAACTTCAGGAGCATGATTATTATCAGTATCGGGATTTCTGGAGGAGTCTCATACTAGGACGAAACGGCCATACAGTGCTTTCAGGTTTTTAATGGTGGTCCAACTTCAATCGGCTCGTGAATTCAACTGTGAAAATACTACAATCTCCACAAATCCCCATATTGATAATCTTAACTCATTACTAGATACCTGGATTTGAGCAACTTTTTAAGTGTATGGGCTAAAGATGCTAAGCAGCTGTTCAAATAGAACTAACGGAAGTGGAATTCACAATTTTCACAAAATGGAACGCATCAATTCACAGGGCCACTCATTCCAAAACAAATTGAAAAGTACTTTGAAAATGAGGCGAAATATACTTTTCAGTCAATAATTGACTTAAAATAAACATTAAGTTTAAATGAGGCACAGAATACTAATAGTCTGACAATTAAAAGGTCTAACTAAACGAGTAAGTTTGGACATACATGAAAGAAAAACAAACAACTGATACATATTCTGGAACCAAAATTCGTAGAGGTTTTACATGACTAAAGTATGTTTTTTTCAGCTTTGCTAGTGGGATATCTGCAATATGAGAAATCTTGACTAGATATATTTCAACAATTGGTTTGATGGATAACCATGAAGTACTCACTTTATATAATATTTTACCCTGACTGTAGATAGCAATGTGCATCCACAACATTGTAACAGGGAATCAGACCCAGGTCCTACAATCTAGCATGCCAACATCAAACCTTCATACAGCTGAGCCAACGGTGTCAATGACTAACTGCAACTAATTAATGATATTGTGCGACCATTTTTCATTATTTTCTATGGGTATGTGCCTCACACACAGACGGTTTAGCTCCACTGACAAAGGATATCTGTAGTAGCTTCCACATACCTAGAAACAGTCTAGCGTAGGGAGAGTCCGCCTTCCCACTCCGAATGCTTTCATATAGCCACTGTCAGGAACGTCCTACTCAATACGGCGGTGTTGTTTACGAAACTGAGAGGAAGAAAAGTAAATGTCCGGCGTTCTAAGTGGATTGACAGATATAGAGGATTCAAATAGGGAAGTCGGAAAACCCTGATTCCAAACCAATGGTGCACATGGGCTCCAGAATCCTGAGGGAACAAGTGGTGTACGAAACTATTGTTGATCACTGACTACCATGGGACTGGATCTTCTAACATTGCTCTACTGCCTCTACTACCTATAGGTTAAAGGCTCGTGGAGTGGCGTTCTAAGAAAACCATCTGTTTCAATTTGGGCACCTGGACAGTATACTAGCCCTCACACAAGTCAGATGACAAAGTGTGGCACATTTATATACCGTGACTCCTACCAACGTTTGTGTATTGAAATAAGCATCAATTAATGATAACATGTTACACTATGAATATCATGTTTGCAACTTGAAGTACTTACTTTTGAATGCTTTTTTGACAACGGATTTGTTAGATTTTTCATTGACTTCTAATTTCTTTTTACGTTCCTTTTCAGTTCTTTCATCTAATTGAAACTTAACCATTTTAGAATTTATTGGTTTTTCATCAGTATTAATTTCATCCTGTGTTGACAATTGACCAGCACGTTTCATACCTTCAAGACAAATAGCACGATGTGTTTCACGTTCAGCTTCATTCGCTAAACGTCGAGCTTCATGTTCAGCACGACGTTTTGCACGAATTAGTTCACGTTGTCTTAAACATTCTGATTGATGAGCTAATTCAGATAATGTACGTGTTTGCCAACGATGATATAAAACTGTACCAGTGTTTACACCTTCTTCTATCTGGTTAAAATTTCAGAAAACTTATTAACAAACAGTATGAATTACGGTTTAATTAACTCGAACAAAACCGAAATGTCTGTTTAAATAAAAAGAATTTTAGAGACATCATTGGATGTTTAAGAGAAAAAATAATCATAATCGAAAAGTTAAATTATTGTGTGGCCTCCTAGGAAAACCACCTGCTTCGATTTGGGCACCCAGGCAGTATCACAGCCCTCGCACAAATCAAATGAAATTTGTGTGGCGCATATGTATTTGATGCCACCATGTACCAAAATCGATGTGTTCAAATAATAATAATAACGTCTGTACGAAATACATGATTCATAGAGTAGGAGCTGATATTGGTGTTCTGGACTAAACGGGAAGGGCTAGGCGAGAAGGACAAATAAACATTCCGAGTTGATATAGGACAACTAGTGTTGTTTAGACGCATCATTGGTTTCGACTTTCAGTACATTCAGGTTTTCAATAGTGGTCTAACTAAGATTGGTTTGTGATGTAAGACTATGAAAACTCCATTACCTCCACAAAATCTTGTACTGATATTGAATATATTTTAGAAATATACCTTTTGTTGGTTAAACTTTTTTCGCTACATTTTGTAGTAAACGATTCTTCTCGAACTTTACTCAACACAATTAGCTCATTTGATGATATTGTACTGTATGAAAGAATAGTTTGATCTGTCCAATCACTCGATAAGAATACTGATATCTAACGTTGATGGTATAGTGTCGGTTGCTATATCAAGCCCACACAGCATATTCTACCTTCTGGATAGGCCAATCTATTCGTGCTTCATCAGTCACATTTTGACCTCGTTAATTATTCGCTTATCAACCTTCACTGTATTTGCGTGAGCGAATGTGTGTGCATTTGTCATTCTACTCATCACATGTCTGTAACTTATTTTCGTCTGACTACAAATATTAATTTACACTTGGTAAAATCGAGTTGGTTAATATGTCTTCTCCAATCCGTTTTGCTTCACTCTCTCCCTCGCTCCGATTGTCTTTTTCGATCAACGATTGTATGAAATATAGGTATTCAAAATCAATTCTCGTATTTAACATATTCAATTCTGTTATTCACTAACGTAACATAAGTCGATGATTATATACGAGGATTGGCCGCATGTACATATCAATAACCATCAGCACATGATATAAAAGGAGATACTGAGCAACGAAAATAGTTCAAAAAGACAGAATGAAAAGATACGTAAGAAAAAATAGCGAAACTCAAGGTCTGGAGCAAGAGAAACGAAGTATCTATGTACGACACCGTGATCAATTCTGCGCCATGTTATCGAATGTTTTAAACTATTGATTGTGGTTATTGTACGAGTCTCCAAACGCCCTGGTAAGGCCGAGAGTGGGGAGGACCCGCCCTCCTTATCGAAATACTCTCGCACGGCCATGTGTATACAGCTTCTGCCAGAGAAGTCTTACTCACTGCGTTCTCACACCAGGAGTGTTTTTTTACGAAATTGAGAGGACGAAAAGTAAATGTCCGAAGCATTAACCGGGCCGGTGAACACGGTGAGTCCACCTAGGACAGCTGAGAAACCCTGATTCCAAACCAATGGTGCATATGGGCTCCAGGATCCTGAATAAACAGATGGAGTATGAACCAATCGTTGGTCACCTGCTACAATGGGACTGCATCTCCTTACGATAGTCCACTGCATTGTGAATCAGACCCTCAGGTCGAAGGCTCCAGGTGTGGCCCGCTAAGAAAACCACCTGATTCGGTCTGGGCACCCGGATATCAAATAATGGTGTTTTCAGGTTAGTCTCGCTCTACTGGCGAACATTTCTTGACAATCCAAACAATAGTTAAGCACACATTACGAAATTTCAAACCACCTCAATATGGAATATTCCGACGACTGACACGATCAAAAAGCTAAAGCTTGCACATGTCTTCTAATTTCATATTTCAGAGCTACAGAGTAATACACACTACACAATCACATTTTGTTCAGCAGACAGACACTGATAAAACTACAATATTAACGGAAAGCATGAGTAAATTAAAAGAAAAACTTATATCAATTTACTTTAATTAGATTTAAAGTAATTCTTGGTCCAATTTCAGTAAGTCGAATTGTAGCTTTTTTAGCTGAGCCTAAATGTTTTAATCCATGTATTGAACTAGTGCCATGACCAGGTTTACGTTTACGTGATTGTATAGCATCTGCGTTAGCGAATCCAGAACTTGACAAGTGAACATCTGAAACTAGATCAACTTCTTCCATATCTGATAAAATATCTGATAATGCTGAATCGGATAAAAGTCCTGTTCTGTAAATGAAAACAATAACAATAATGACCACGTTCGATTGAATTCAATTAAGAACGAAGATGTGTGTGTGTACGTACATTATAGCACAAAATATACATAAAATCAAAAATTTTCAACTAGCCACTTTTTATAATCAAAGACGGACGGTGGCCAGTTTAATCCAGGACGCGCGTTTCGTCCTGTTTGGGACTTATCAGCTGGATGTATCTGCATTCCAGAGTTGATGTTCACTGCAGGGACTCGAACCCAATAGTGCTTGTGATTTAAGGCAATATCGAGGCGATCCGCACAGGATGCACATATACCAATAAAAGATTGATCAATGGGAAAATACAAACAAACGACACAAAATAAATTTAGCCAGTTTCCAGTTATTAATATACAAATTTGTCTTTATCGAAAATAAATGAATCCATCTTGTCAAATAATTAGAAGGATAAAAAAGAGAATTTCCGAGAGTTCTTAGATAGTAGTTGGGAATATGCAGTTCGAGTAAAAGATTAGTGTTTTCTTCCAGTTCAAACTGTTCTTTTAATGGCCAATAAAGATGACTGAATTTCATGTAAAAACAAAAAACAAGAACCTATGGTTGATTAGTCCCTACAATAGAAACGGAATACTACTATGTTAAAGATCGTTTCAGGATCCAATGTTATATACGGTTAAGATTTACTTGTTATATACAAGTAATTATTTTTTTATCGTAATCTTTCAATTAACCCAATTAACTATTGTCATGCGAATTATTACTCTGAATCTATTACCAGTTTTACTATTCACAGTCAACTTTTGATTTGATCATGAATAATTTTTATTTTGTAGAGAATATGTAGAATGGTAAGATTGTATATAATCTAGGTCATAAATTCTACTATGAAAATACTACAATCTTTACAAATCCCCATGCTGATAACAATCATATGCTCACTAGTGATTAGATTCAAGATGTAACTTTTGGAGTTTTAGTGAGAAGCCGTGACCAGTGTCATCCAATACCCGTCGGGTGTGAGACAGTTATCCACCTCAAGCTTACTCAAGATCATGGATCACGGCAATCACGCGCGGGACAGAAGGTACTGAGTTCGAGTATCGCGCGTGGTCATGGATGCGTACTGCTGTGTACCATACTAGAACAAACGGCCGTTCAGTGCTTCTAGGTTTTCGTTGGCTGTCCTGCTTAGAATTCAACTTTGAAAATACTACAACCTCCACATATCCCCATGCTGATGAAATATAATATAACATAGTGGAGGCTGATTACTGAATTCTGGACTCAAGTGACCGAGCAGAAAGAATAATTAGAGAATTGAAGACCAATAAGGACTAGTGCTGGTTGAACGCATAATCGGTCAACGCGAAGAGAAAGAAAGAGACTAAGCCATGGAAATCAGAATCCTGGTTAGTGGTTTCGTCAAGTGATATTAGAAAATGGCCACAAGACAGAGCAACAATTATCTTACTGTTGTTAGTACATAATTTACAAGCAATATTATTAAAAGATTCTTTGTTTTGAAACGCCTTTCACCAGACAGAGTTAACATTAATTAATTGATATTAAAAGTGGTTTGGGGGGAATAGGTACGAAATTTCTACAAGCTATTTGACACTTTTACAACTGACTGGTTATTGGGTAGTGACTAATGTACTGTACGTCAAATCCATCTTATTGCTTATCAAAATTTATTAATCAAAATTTGATATAGATACCAGTCTAAATGACTCGACATCGTGTGAGTAAGTTTGAGATTTAAGGCAGTGTTTGGAGGTAGTCGACAGGAAACCCTAGATCTGGGTCTCATGTTATCCGGGACTACCCAGAAAGTTGTGCCTGTAATGTCAGGGGGAATGGTCATCCTAGGCGGATTCAATTTGATGTCAATACTGGAATGACTCAGTCTAACAGGTGGTCAATTGCGGCGAGGACTGATCAGCGGTAAGGTCTTTGAATGTGGAGATGGGTGACACGAAAGCGAATCAACCAGGCAGCATCTATCACCTCGAGATTACACTTTATTGATAAAAGACAAATAGCCCGAAACGTAGAGCAATAGGTTCTTGTCGATTACCTTCAACCAACACATTACATAGTTGACACTCCTTAACAGGTGTTTCTAGAATGTTGATAAACATCAACACAAATGTTAAGCAGTTTCATAATTAGAGGTATAACTTGTGAATTATTCAAGGTTTAACTTAAATGTTTTAGGACTGAGATCGCCTCTAACCAATAAGACCCAACTGTCACAAAGAAGACAAGGTGAGGAAATAGTAGTTAATACTACGTTAAGCAACTAATACTGATTTAATTGATGAACAGGTATATCACTTAACATTGTGATTAAAACATACTGTCCAACCAAAAATATTTTCAATCGGTCATAAGCAATACGGAACCTTGAACACATGTATGTCGGTTCAACTTGACATATCATATCAGTAAAGAGAGACAAGATTATCAGTAGTAATAGAAAAATTTAGGTTGTAGGACAAAGAATCATACGATTCAAGATCCGAGGAGAGATTACGAGTGAATGCGTCGACGCTATTGCCATCGATTTTCAGCCTTGTCACTCAATAACACTAACCAGCAGTCTTCACCTAACTATACGGACTAGTTCAACAGTCAATGTCACTATTTACTGATCGGATGTTTTCGAATAACTGACCTTAGATTTCTTTCAACCTCCTGCATCGATAAATATTTAAAGTTACTTCAGTATATGAAACATTACAAAAATTATTGTTCTTAGAAGCAAAGATTACTTCCTTACTTAGTTAAAAAATCGTCCATAGATGAATATTTCGCTAAATTCGGTACACCTGTTGTTTTTCCTGAACCACTTGGACCAATTCCACATTTCAAGTCAGAGTTATCAACACATCGACGTTTCAATTTTGCACCGCCAACACCAAGACGTCGTAGTGCACGGCTTATACAACGATTTTCAGTACGAATATGAAAGTGTCGAATGTAAATTACATCATTCACTTGCTGTGGTTGGTGCTGTTTTGTGTCGTCACCAGTACAACCACTACTACTATTGTCATTAGTAGTAGTATTGATGTATGCAGTGTCAACTTCTCGACTAACAAGTAAAACTCGTTTTACTGTACTTAGTTTAAGCTAAATAAAACAAATATAGTAAGAAAAACTATCAAATGATAACAAAATAACAGAAGCGTCAAGGCAGGAATGACATCTGAACATCAAATACTTTGACTTTGACAAATGATTAAAGTGACGTAATAGGTTAATAAACACTTCCTTTTAATTTCCTTTCCGTTTATTGCTACTGGATGGTGATATCTCTGGGATATAGATGTCATTCTAGTTTATATCAATGTTTAGTTGCTATGCGAAACATGAAGGGTCACAATTTTATGCGCATACTTAGTACAGAGGAAAAAAATAAATCGTCGATCGGATGCTTTAAACTCGCTAAATGATTGTTTACATGGAAAACTTCAGCGTTCAGATGATGATGTTAATTATATTTTGTTTCCAGATAGTAACCTAATTACTAAATATATTTCTCTTTAATTAACGGAATTGTGAATGATAGTGAATTTTTATTAATCTTTCATGAAACTGACTAGTTCTTTGATTAGCAACTTCTATAACCATGCTGTTATCAATCTACTACTATGTTTATTGATAGATATCAGAGTAATGAATACATAATATTGATACTACAATCAATATGAAAACTAATGATGAATTACTAAGTAGTATAAGTAGATAATATGACGGTAAAAACGTATACTGATGGTCGAATCCTCTTGAAGCCAATATGATCTAAACATAATTAGAGTACAGACGTTTTATGATTGCTGTCTAGTTTGATTAATTGGTTTACCTATATTCCCAGTAGTACTGGCGGGTGACCTTCAAAATACTCAATGATACAGCAATCACTGAACAACGCTCAAGATCTTAATGAATACTGGTCCTCGAGCTCCTCTTCTGACTCAGTAGCCAATCAGAAGACAATAATAAGAAGCAGGTCAGTTCTAGATTGTACTTAATTCAATCATCAAAAATCACATAATAATATTACTTGGAATGTATGACCACACAACGATACAATCATGAAATCTCAATGTGTACATCCTTAGTGATACAAAACTAAAGTATTGCGAAAAATCATTAATTAATGACAAATTTGGAACGATTAAACGTATAACGACTAATAAGCCAAATAAAGGCTTAGAAATAGATAAGTATCAAAACACAATAATACAAGTAACAAATTACTACAAAATATCCATTAAATCAAACGGTTTATAAAAGAAGAGGACCTTGATGACCAACATACATTAAAGTTTTCAGTTTTATATATATATATATATATATATATATATATATATATATATATATATATATATATATATCGAAAAACCGATGAATACAATACTAAACGAACCTTCGGAACATTTAATGGAGGCAGTAAATTTTGAAACATATCTACGACTAATCGTAGATGTGGCAATGGAGCGGATGTATTCGCGCTCGTACCGCCCATACCAAATCCAGTCATTACTAACAAAGGCGGTGAACTATACTGACGACTATCGAAAACTCGCCGAACCAAAGTTTGTATATCACGTTTCAAGCTATATTCAGCAACACGAAAAGTAAGACTAGGTCCATGCGGAACACGAATCATGTGTAGATAAACACCACCGTGGTTACTACAACTTTTATTGGTTACTCCTTGAATTTCAGTGGTATCTGATTGATTGAAAAAAAGTGGCAGTATAATACATTAAGGTCACAGAAATAGAGGTCATAACGATAAATCAACTGAATAAGAAGGGAAATTACACTTATGGTTCATCACTTAAATTGCTCTGGAAACTGTAATGCTTAAAGAAATCCAATGTAAATACCACTTTTGCGTTAGTACACAGTCTACAACACACCGGGCAATAAAATAAAAATCTGAGGACTACATAACCTCTGATGAACACGAACCTATTTACTGATATTCATATTTCGTGCTAATTCGCGAAAATAGCCCAGATCGATACATGTAAATATACGGCGAATTATCTGCATTATATAAGTTACCATCGGAACTGTCAGTTTTATCATAACAAGTTAAGTGCATAACGCTGATGTTTAAAGAGATCTTAAGTTAGACATGTGAAACCTAATTACATTTTCTGTTAGGCATCTCGTCCGATTCAACTCATTTTTTGTGTATTGCTTTATACTACTTGTTAATGTTCAGTAACCAGTTTCATAGCGTAATATACTACAGTATTTACATGAACTACAAACATTCAATATATCGTTTTGTGTAATTACATCCCAATTTTTGTAACAGTTAATTCCAGTTCTGTATATTTGCTGAATATTCGCTTAGATGAAACAGCTCTCATATTTGTGTACTTTCAGTCCCCATTTTGATTGTTGATAAATGGTTGTTAACATTAGAAGAAGCCATCAGCAATCATTTCCGCTATCATGTGTTGTACCTACTTATGTGTTATCATTACAGGAAACCTTTCTCTTACCAGATATACACATGCGTTATTTGCTAAAGGATGAGATTTGTAGTCAATTTCTAAATATATTCCTAAATAACAAAACCGTTCTTTATAAAAATCATTGTTTGTAGATCTCAGTTACGCATGTATCTCGATTGTGTAGTTAAGCACTGCGATAGATTTAGAACTTGGATTCTCATTAGAAATGAGGAGATACATTATAGTGTCTGTGAAAACGGCCTGTCTCTTTGAAATCACGACTTCGAAAATTCAATCATTGGCTGATAGTCGAATAACGGAACTTATATACCTTACCGAAATCAACTATGGAGTCTACATGAATAGATAAGCTTTGAAATGTAAATCAATTAACCCAGCAAGCTAGAATAAAATAACATACATCAACACTAACGTAGCATGAACATTCGATAAACGAAAAAGCAATTTCAATGAAATAAATTATCAAACAAAATGGGAAACTACGAACTTTGTTCAATTGAAGAACTGTCATTTTCTAACCGTTTTGCAGAAGCTTTAGCTAAACGACGGGCACGTTTCTGTTCACGTTTCTCATCATTAGGGTGTGTGAAATATAACAAATGTGTTACGTTCAGTGGACCAGCGATAGTAATGAAATCTTTCAGTACATTCTGACGGGTCACACGTAAACGGCTAGCTGTAAAGGGTTCGAAAATCTCTCTAACATCGAGAGATAATTGTTTCACTAAACTCCCAACACCAGGACGTGAGAAAACCATGGTATGTGGGGTTTTGGTGTAACGTTTTTCCTCCAATGCAAGCGCTGCATTTCGTGCATTCCGTACCGACTTTGGACGTTTCTTATGTACCATTATACACAAGAATATACTGAAATAAACGATAAAATACTTCATAAAATATACTGAACAGTCATATATATAAAACGAAAATTTATAAATGACAAGAATAATCAGTTATATGTAAAACACACCAAAGTAGATTACCGTGAGTGTCAAAACGATTTTACATTAGAAACTAACATCTTTAATATGTGTAGTCACACGGATTATCTACTTCAGAAATGATATAAACAGAAGATTAAGATTCCATTTTTATGATTTTTGTATAAAAATACTGGGCACTAATTTTCTTAGTTTTCCATAAAAAGTGATGACTAATATATATTACAACTCATGTTACGATATACAAACTCATGTATTAGATTTTCAATCACGTCGTTTATTTGAAACGGTAGTTAGACGATCCCGCTTTCCATATCGAAGTAAACATGCTTGAGATGGAAACTATACCCTACCAGTTACATACCAGATAGTTGAATCATTTTAGGTAAGCTACTGTTTTATACACAGGAGAGAGTTACTTTAGAAGATAGCCAAGTCCCTGAATAATGGTAACCTTAATGTCATACTGTTCGACGAGGAGATTCAGATCAAATACCACCAATATATTTAGCAAAGAGATGACCCAGCTACATGATTGATTTGACAAAGTAATGTACCACTGGGTTTTAATGTTATAGAGATATGAAGTAAGTAATATATCCAGTTCCTATACCCCAATATAGATTTGTGTTCGATATGATCTCAAGTGTTATTAAGGGAATGAGGATGATTTTTAATTCTCAAAGATTCACACTGTCAAAAAAAACCTCTAGAGGAATCCGGAAATTGGATTAGAGATGAGTTTAACGGTCTGATGAAGTACTCAAAGGACAACCATTTTAGAATGATCACACAGCATTTCTGTGAACACTTCTAAAAGAGTTAGCTCTGTATTTCAAGGCTTTAACGTCCGATGCGGGAACCCATGAGGCAGAGTGAAGTACGCAATATTTAGGATGGACTTCTTATATATGGAGAAGATCCCTGTTGTCCATGGGCCCGTATGCAGCCTAATTAAACGTATGAAATATGCGTATATTCTCAAGCATAAACTACGCCTAGATACATTTCGATATTACTGAAGCATAGATTACAAAACAGATTCAATCAAGCATTGTACAAAACAAACAAACAAACAAACAAAAAATGATGAAATGAAAAACAACATGTATATATTTATATCGTATATGATGATCAGCTTTTTACCCGGTTATTTTAACAATATAAACAGTACTAAATTACTAAAGAATAAGTTGAATAGTCAAAGGAACAAGAAGAAATAGATTTGTTCAAAAATTAAACAATAGAGGGTTTTAAAATAGAAAAGAAAAGAATTTTTGCAAATCAATTTCAAGCTAAGTAACTCAAACATACTAACTCACTTTTCAAACTCCTAAATCTACTAATCACCGTACTTATTATACACAGTAAAACAATTGGATGAACATAAAAGTATAAACTCATATAAATACACATACAAACAAACATACAGACATATCTAAGACTAATCAAAGATTGTTACCAACACCATTCAGATGACTGTGAACATACGAGGAGTAATAACTCACATATGAGAGTGGACAAATAGGTGTAAAAATAAACCATGAAACAAACAAAATAATTTATGAAAATAATTCATATTAGATATGATCCGAAACACGAAAGACTGTATTGTTGATGTGTATTTGTTTGTAAAAAGAATACTAAACGAGTGATCGGTAAGTTTATGACAAGTTTTTTTCCTGCTTGGATTATCTTTTTTTTTCATACTACACAGAATGAGCCAATTCCATATGAGTCGGTAGATCACTTCGTAGACAAACCTGTTGACAAAGAAACAATAGCAAATTGGAAAATACTACGATTAATACAATGTTTTAGAAGATTATTGAATGGTATAGTTAATATCTGGGGCAATATTTAGTTAGATAACTGTTTTGTAACCCAGGGACTACTGGATAATCAAAACACTGATCACAAGATCCTAGTGAAAAGAAAAAAACTTAGCAATAAAATAGACGATCAATCGATTCTTCATCAAATGGTACATTTATAACACAGTTTTAATTAGTAAACATTAGTCATCTGAATCATCATTATTCTAGACCTTAATCAAATATCTAGTAACTTAATCAAGATGAAACTCTGTTAGTTGGATAATTAAAAAACATTATCGTTAGATCGCCTCCGGTGTAGGAGGTTGGAAAGACCTAGAAGGTTGCTAAACCAGGACGTAATAGCAATTCATGAAATTAATGACGGTTGGACTAAACTGCATAGTTCACGTTTATACATTATTGTAACTGACAGTTAGAGACACTGGGTGACATGGCTCAGAATCGGTCAAAATAGTGAATATACATTGACTATTTTAAAACTCATAGATTCTGTTCCACAACCTAACATTTCATTCTCGAATCATATTATCTTCTGTCGATCTGTTCTAATACTAATGACATCAATATTATTGGCATTATTACATCTCACTGGTCCAGGACTCGTAGCGACACCTGAAGGTCATGAGTTCGATGACTTGTGAATTCTTAAGTTCAAAGTACTGAGTTCTTTACCAGGGTGTAAAAGTTGTATAATGTTCCTTGGTTTACAATAGTACCCCAGGTGAGGTCAGTTTGTGATGAATACAAACCACAAAATTATCGTGTTGATATTTTAAACTATTAAATTAAATAAATATCATCAATTAAGATTTGCCATAAGGCAGCAAATGTTAAACATTAACTGTTTAAAAAAGAATCATGAAAACCAACTTACTTGACCACATTCCTGGCATGTTTGCATTGTTTTTAGGACTTTCTTTGACCATGGAGGAAGAGCTAATATGGGGATTTTGTTGCGCTTAAATTGATGACCACTTTTTAACAAAGCTTCTTGCATATCAACTGGAATACGTGGAGATCCTTGTGCTTGCAGAGCACGAAGTAAGGCACGTTGAAGCCCTATATCAGGCAATAAGGAAATCATCGGACCTATCCAGTATGGAATATCTAAAAAAAGAGTAATACTCTAGGATTATATAATAAAACACAATGATATAGAGCACATGGAAATATAAGTGATGAAGAGGAGTCAGCTATGATAGTAATTGTTTGTAGTCGACAGTAGCAGCTACTGCTGTTGACTGACGGAAGCTCGTCCAACTCATCCGCATCACTGGTAGCCACAAGTCTGGTATGAGTGAAACAATATGTGAAGTTAATCGGATGCCAATCAACATCTACCAACGTCTTGGACAATAGGCAGTTTGTCAGGGAACAGTTCAAATGGTCTGCTGCCTTAAAGATGGCGAACTGACTGTCCTGCTCTCCATGGCCGGTGACAACTGATCCACCTAACGGGGTGGAAGTCCGCAAGAAACTCCAACTCATTAGCACGCTCCGACTACAAGGTTTCTCGGTCTTTAGCAAGCTTTTCACAATTTCATTACGTAAAAATCTTCGTTTATGGTCATACTCACACATCGACGTGACTAAACGAGTTGGAGCCTATAGAAACTCAGTGCTTATCTAATGCATCAGTGTCACTATCTTGAAACACCCATTTCGGTCGCTTGGACATAGCCTATGTCGTTCCAGCGAATTCCACATCGTCCGTCATTTGCCGACGATGGAACCGGTAGGAAAGGGCGGAGAGGTAGTCAGTGCACAACATGGTATTAGAGAAAGCTGTACAGGACTGGCGTCCATTGGACATTCACGACTCCATGGTTGGGGTCCTAGAGATGGTGCAACACAGTGGCTTGAAATGTTATCAGAAATGGCTTGGAAGAAAAGCCAGTGACGATACTGAAGCGAATTCTTTCTAGTTGTATCTTTCCTACCCAAACTGCTTTCCCCATCATTTTTATTATTATTATTATTATTATTATTATTATTATTATTATTATTATTAGTAGTAGTAGTAGTAGTAGTAGTAGTAGTATCACCCTCGTACACTAATTTCTGTTCATTGTTCTTTTTTGTTACACTCACCTTCCATACCCTATCCTTTCACAACAACATTTTTGTTGTATGGCACATGTATATTTGGTGTTTTTTGGTACTAATATTTATGTTTTTAAATAAGTAATCAATAAATAAGCTCAAAAAATACGTCATCAAAATTTCTACAAATTTTTCAGAGGGAACAAAAAACCATTATACAACAACTTACTGTCGTCATCATTCTGATTCACAGTATTGACATTTAGAAGACCAATTAAGCCTTCCAAGTAAGCTGTAGCATTGATTTGTTTATAACGATAACGACGTGATAAATCAGCAAATCGAATAAAAGCTGTCTTGCCACTTTTATCAAATAAATCATTTTCCACTGTTTGAATTAATTCACGATTACGTGTTTCCATATCCGGTGGAGCTACATATTGAGACTTGAATGAAAATAACAATTATATATATAAATAAAGATTGATAGTGACAAATAAATAATACAATGAGTAAATGAATTAAGGGAAGACAGTTGATGATGATACTATCATAATGAAGCGGTAGCTCGGTTGTTAAGAAGTGATGTTATCAGTCATTAGGTAACGAATTCGAATTACACATCCAACCTATTTCATCGTTGGAAACCAAATCGCATATTACTAGCTCATACATACAAAATGTAACACAAAGCCGAGTGTGTTAATCTGTACCTGGTAAATGAGTTGCATTAATAAACACTATAACAGTAAAGTTTGTTGTGTCCGATAAGACAATAAAAATGAAAGACTAGTTGTTTAATCATACATGGATGTTAAAAAAAACAATTCAATTTGATAAGATATGAGGACAAAAAACCAGTACTGCTTTCGTTTAAACTCAAATTCGTAAGACACTTCAATGAATATGGCAGTATATAACGGTAAGATAAGTTATAAACAAAAGATTCGATTATCGTGGGAGCCGTTTTCGCTTGAACGTTCTAAGAATAGGATAGCAGCGTCGCTGAAAATTTTGGTTGCTTGAAAGCAACAGTGATTCTTGGAGCATTCCCATTTCGCTAACATCAAGACCACACTTCCATAAAGCTATTATTGTACCAACATTTCTAAAAGGATAATACATAACATTTGCGTTATTAGCATATAACTCAAAATAAAACGTGACTACTTTATTTCCCTAACCAAGGGGAACCTTATTTAACAACCCAGCATTTGAAAACACAGCGGTAGTAATCGAGTCCTTTCCTTATGATGAAAGATCAAACAATGAATCGAACTATAGATGACTGATCACAAATTAATGACCAATCTCACGTTGGTTCGGTCATTCAGTGTTATCCGAGTTCAAACGATCAAGCTGTAATATGATCGCTAGGCTGTGACTCTATATTGAGCAACCTACATTTAAATGTTAGGCAGTGTAGTGGTAGCATCTCAGACTATGCAGCTGATCCAAGCAAGTTCGAGTCCGAAAGAGACCGTCAGTTTCCAGAAGATTGTAGGTACCTCTTGTTGATGAGTTTCAACTAGCGTGAAGCCTAAGCTTAGGGTTTTATGACGACTACCTTTCAGTATACGGAAAAGAAAGCAGTTATCCAGTTCTACTAAATAACGACTTTTCAGAAGACCATATTGGTATGGCTTAGCATCTGACAAATACGGAATATCGATTTCGTTGCCAATGTAGTGACAAAAATTACTGAGTCAAGTGAAGTGGGACTTATACCTGTGAGTTGTCATTTAATAGGTTCATGATAAACTTTAATGACTTATTTACTCGTTTATTGGTTATAAACTTGTAAACAATACAACTCAGCTGCCCAAACCGAAGTAGATAGAGGGGGTGGAGCTCGAAACTGAAACCTAGTGACTGAAACCCGGACGCATTAAACCTGCTAAAATTAAGCGTGCTTAAAATATCACTGGTACTCTTTAACCGTGGCTTTCAACTTGACGTAGCAGTTGAGCTTACCCATAGTGACCGCCGGGCAGGACTGTCGGAGAACGATGAGATCAAACGTAGCGACTTAATCCCTGAGAGAAAAGTTGTATCACTGATTCAATAGGGAGGTGACAACAGTAAGGTTTTTAGCTCAGACAACATTTGCAGAGATGCTGCCTTATCATAAAAGTTAGAAAAGGTCGATTCTAAAAATGTCACTTTACCTCATATATTTCGGTCTTCGGTAGGAAGTTATTTTAACGTAAAAAGCTAACACATCAAAAGATTGTCACAAAACGGCCATGTTTGACAGGGCTGCAACAACAGTTTCTGGTACTCTAAGGTCATCGCCTCCCCTGGGTCAGTAAAATCACCACTAACCCAGTTTTCCTTATAAACACCTCTCAAAAGAAATATTCATTAGAGATGTGAGCAACCTAGAAGCGACCTCATACAGTTAACAGCATGCGAGATCAACCTATTTCTACTATTCCATGAAAAAGCTGTTTTCAGAGATACTGGTAAAACTACATCCAATAAAAAAAGATGAATGTGGCAACATGTATGTCTATTCAGAACACACACATAACAATAGTTAACAGTAAACTTAATAAATAAATAAATAAATAAATTTCAGCATACTTTAGCATATAATAAGCATTCAATATCCATGTTATCATTAAATTGAATAGATTTTATAAGTTTGATTAATGAATTAATTTCAGGTTTTAAAGTGTTATTCACAACACTACTGGTTGTATGAGAAGAGTGTTGTTGTTCAGATTGATGAACAATAGTATCAATGATTATCTTTTTTGTTTGTCGATTTTGTAATTTTTTCTGTTTAGTATCATTGGGATTAGTTTTATTTTCAGATAGACATGGAAAATCATTTGTAAGTGATAATGGTTCATGTTTAATTAGATTTATTTGACTAGATGATTGTTGATTAATATTAAGAACATCTACTGTTTGGATATGACTGAACTGAGGTTTTTCCAATGGTGACTGATCATCAGCATACTGAAATGAGAGAGAGAAAGGAGGAGAAACGATATCTTGACATGAAATAACTTTAGTTAATCCATGAGAATGTTTGGTAAACATGAGGAATAAGCGTGAGTCTTATAAATTTCTAATATGATCTTGACTAATACTAGGACTAAAATTCAGAGTTTCCAAGGTCCTAATCTGAAATCCTGGTCACAACTATAACTCTGAATAATTTAATGACGCTTTCGGCATTAAATTTATTCATTTACATTCGATAGACAACAATCTATTTAATGTGTATCATGACTCTGAAAAGCCTCAATTATTTCTGCCCTGTTAAATATGGTTAAAATTTTAATTCCTTGAACACATCTTAAATAATGAAGACAAATTTCAGCAACATCTGACACAATTTACAGCATTAAGAACACAATAATGATTTGATGTTCTACAAATTGTGCATACTTTTCCGTGAAAAGAATGAAAATGATTAATAGTGGTACCGTTTAAGATGACCGTTACTACTTCAAAATCACGGTAATTCATTACTATTTTTTTTTAATGAATATATTAACTCCTGTTAGAAATTACTGATCATGTCAGCTTAGTAATTACGACTATAATAAGGCTAACGTAAGAGCTTTGATCCTCTTTTTCATGAGGACAAACAACAACCATAATAAATGAAATATAATGTTATATTTAGATATGACTTCCGCATAATATTGAGTAATTGTCTACAGTAGTAATGGTCAAACTAAAATAAACACTTAGAAAGGGTTCGAATTATCCTGATTAGACGACCTTGGTTGTGGCTATTTTGTAACAGATATTTAGAATACATAGCTTGTGGCTAACAGTGGAATCTGAAATGAGACTTCGTCTCACTTGGAACTCATAAACTGCAAGCATCTGTATTTTAGCATTAATATTCACAAGTTTAAGTGAAAAGTACTGAGTACGAATTTTGATGTAGACATCAATACTACGTTGTGGGAACATTCAGTCGACAAGCCCCAAATAGGACAAAATGAGCCAGCTCAGACCAAACGCTTCTTTACATATCGATAGCTTTTCAAATATATTTTTGAATCCTTTCATTTGACTGAGTTCGTATCCTTCGATTATAAAGGTGTTACGTGTAAAGGTGTTGTCAAACTCCGGATGCATATGGCATCTTTACATACAACACTTAGACCTACCTCACTGACAGCCATAAACCCAACAATTCTGGAATACATACTTGTTTATTAACTAACCTTCTCGCTATCATCCCTTAAAGTCATACCACCATGCTCATCCAAATCATTGTTTATTGTTCTTGAGTTGTTTCTGGGTTTTGGTTTCTTCGTATTTTTTAATCCGGTTGTGGCTGTTAATGGTTCAGTTTTCTTCTTTATTGCATCATCCGCTGGTGTTTTAAACACCTTGGATTTATTTTCTAAAACTGACTTTGAAGTTAAATTGATGGTGCGATTTGAATGACTAGGATTGGAATTTGTTGGAAGGGACGGAAAATCGGAAGATGTAGGCGTCTGCAGAGAAACTGATTGAGGAAATGTGGATTTAGGTTGTTCTTCCGAAGATGTATTACGGCTTGTTTTTGGCCATCCTGACGAAGGACTACTACTACTAGCTATCACAGAAGAAATGTTAACAAAGAAATTAAATTTGGTCGACTGTATACAGAAAAGATTTTCTAGAATTTATACTTAAGCATTAACAGACAAACGAATTTTAGGAAAAACCCAAACGATTTGATCCATTTCTTTAATAAAAATAACACAAACTATGTAAATTTAAACATTTATTGTTAAAGGGTGTGGATTCAACGTTCTACATCACGAAATAACCAGTTAGACATGCACCGGAAATCGAGAAGCAACAGGTGTTTGGTCCCAGTACAAAACTCAAAAGTGCACACCCAAACATTATGGGGATTGAACCCAGGATACTAACGGTTCGTGAACTACTGAGTTGCCATCCGAATGTTTACACTTTTAATTTTAACTAAGTTAAGTTGTGTGATACAAATAAAGATGTCAACAGATCGTGGTTACTCAATAACTCGGAGGTTCTGAGGTACGATTCCTCGTAAGGTCGTAGGTGCGCACTGCTGAGTTCTAGTGTTTTATGATTTTCAATAAGTAATTGCGTTCTGAATTCTAACAACAATAATGGATATATCTGACTTATTATGGATGATTTCGAGTTATTTAATTTTCTGTTACTTATTTATTATGAAACTTTATAAGGAAGTGTACAGCTGTCCAAAATGGTTCGAAGTCACTATCAGTAAACTTATTAATTGAGGTTAAGTTTACTAATAAAACCTTTTAAAACCCAAGGTAACTACATAACTAAAAAGATTTTCATCTCATCAGTTCTTATACATTACAACTGAAACTGAATAACCGATGATCTAACTTTTCGTTATCAAACACGGTTAGCCATATTGTCTTGTTAACCCTCAACGACGATTTCACACAGATGCAAATAAGAAAACAATCCAATCACATGTTGTACTCTTCATCTTCAATATACAACAGGAATACGCTATTTACGAATAAAGATAGGAAGATTAGCTGTTTTCATTATCTATTATTAACTCTATTAGCTAAAAATTCTTATGTTTGACTTTGAGTCACATTCTAAATGTGAGGGCTAATGATAGTAACAAGTTGTTTAAACCAAAGTCGATGAAGTGAGATTCAAACGTATGACTTAGTGACTGAAAGTTGAACGCTGAAAGCACTGGATTTTTTAACAGATATGAAAACGTTAGCTTGACAGTTTCTCCACCATTATGAGTAAATACACAAGTTAATTTCAAGGAATCCAACACCATCACAAAACAGGGGTAAAGCGGTGCTCTGGTGTTAAGGATGTTTGGGTTTCAACCACTAAGCTGAGCACCACCTATTTTGGTTTGGGCAACCAGGTAGTATATCATTAGCCCTCACATTTAAAGTGTGATTTATACTCAGGTACCTGATTAGTGAATTAACTTAATACCACATCATAAATCAAAACACGTTTCAGTCTAATGATTAATTAATCAATGCAAGCAATGTGTACGTGAAACATACCAGAAGCATGATTATTTGATCCAAGAGTTGGGAAGCTAAAATGATTGGATGTATCAGTCTGAGGATTTTGTATGAGTTGGGAAGCATTACCTCTAACCCACGTGGGAGGATTGCCTAATAATTGAGAAAAAATGAAGGAAAAGGATGAAAATAACTACGAAAAAACTCGCCATATATATATATATATATATATATATATATATATATATATATATATATATATATATATATATATATATATATATATATATATATATAAAGGAACACTGAAAATAACAATTCAAGCACATTCGGAAAACTTACACAACTGATTAAAAAGAATAAAACTTATTCAAAAATTATAAGTCAGTCAGCTACAACGTAGAATCAAGCACATATATGCATCGGTTCAGGTTGCCACACTTCATTAGCACAATAAGATGAACACCAAATTCATAATAGTTAATTTAATGGTGGTAATATATAAAAGCATATAAGGATATAATACAGGAAGAAAGAATTAGTTTGTAGAAAGAAATATATAAAGCAATTTTAATCTTACCGTTTAGAGGAAGACAGAGTGTGTAAACACATACGCCATTGTGATCGATTATGAGCCACGTCGCCCCCCTGAATGCCCTGGTACGGCCGAGAGTGGGGAGAGTCCGCTCTCCCTCTCGAAATACTCTCACACGGCCACGCGTATACAGCCTCTGCCAGGGAAGTCCTACTCATTGCCTTCTCGTGGCGGGGGTGTTGTTTACGAAAATGAGAGGACGAAAAGCGAACGTCCGGCGCTTTAACCGGATTCCAAATCAATGGTGCACATGGGCTCCAGTATGCTGCGGGTACGAATGGCGTATGAACCAATCGTTGGTCACCGGCTACCATGGGACTGCATCTCCTTACGATGCTCCACTGCCTTGTGGGTTAGACCTTTAGGTCAAAGGCTCGGGGAGTGGCCCCCTAAGATAACCACCTGCTTCGGTTTGGGCACCCGGGCAGTATCACAGCCCACACACAAATTGATGAACTCTTTATGCCTATGGAAATTACCTTTCTCGCTTTGAAAAACAAACAATTGATTCAGATTACTATCATTACAATTATTGTCATTATTAATACTAATATTATTATTACTACTATTATTGTCATTATTGTTATTATTATCATTATTATTATTATTTTCCACATTATTCACCCTCTTTTATACTTATACAGCGGCTCGTCTTTGGTGGAAATCCGACTGTATCTAAACGTTCTCGAGTCACTGTCCGGTTGAAAATTGTATGTTACCACCGAATACGAGGACTGAAGCAGATTTTCTGAAACCACGTGCACCATTCAAACTGGCTGCCTTCAACGTTCGCACATTTATGCAGGTCGGACAACAGATAGGGTTGGCTATGTCTTTGGAAAGTCTTAATATCGACGTGTGTTGTCTATCCGAGACCCGTACTCAAGACTCTGGCGAAGTACTACAAATTCGATCTCCATCTGTCGCTTCGAAAAGCTTGTTTTACGTGCGCTTATCCGGGGACCCTGTGGCATCTTCGTCTGGTCTTGCTGGCGTTGGTGTCGCACTAAGCGCTAGAGCTGAGGCAGCACTAGTCGATTGGATCCCCCTTAACAGTCGGTTAGGTGCTGTTAGATTAGAAAGTTCCATCAAAGTGAGAAGAAATCGGCGTGAGAAACGATGCCTTTTCGTCATCTCCGCCTATGCCCCGACAGATTGCAGCCCGGATGCAATCAAGGATGAGTTTTACCACCAGTTATCAGTTCTTCTCCAGAAAGTGCGTTCGACAGATATTGTAGTACTAGATGTAGACTTGAATGCTCAGGTCGGGCGTCTAGGCACAGAAGAGAGTCGTTTAGGTGGCCGATGGGGACTCGTTGGTCGCAGGTCAGATAACGGGGACCGTCTACTGCAACTTTGCACAGACCACAACCTGTTTCTGGCTAGCACTAACTTTCGGCACAGTCATCGCCGATGTGCCACCTGGCGTCCTCCCTCTGCATCTCAAGCCTGGACTCAGATTGATCACATCGCGATCAGCTACCGCTGGCGTGGTTGTGTACAAAACTGCCGCTCCTTTTGGAGTACCTATCTGGACTCTGACCATGCCTTGGTCTGCGCCAATCTTGCCTTACTTTTCAGTGGACAACGAAGTGAACGCCATCAACGGATTGATGTTAGCAAGCTGGTTGCAACTTCTGTTGCAAGTAAGTATCGAACCGAGCTAGCCTCTAGGCTAGCTACCACTCCACCGAAAAGTATAGATGAGCATTGGTTGCAATTGCATGACGCCATGAAAATGGCGGGAACAGTCAGTTGTGGGTTTGCGAAACGTCCCGCTTTTAAGCACTGGGTTTCTCCAGGTTCCTTACAACTCATTGAAGCCCGTCGGTCTACTCCGGGTGACCGTGAGTTTGACCATAAACGAAGGATGTTACGTAAGGAAATTGGGCAAAGCTTGCGTAAGGACCGAGAAGCCTGGTGGTCGATGCGTGCTAATGAGCTGGAAGCAGCAGCTGCATCTGGTAACTGCCGGAAGCTCTTCCAGCTCATCCGAGCCACTGGCAGCAAGAAGTCTGGTGTGAGTGAAACAATCTGCGAGGATGATGGGATGCCAATCACTAACATCCATCGACGTCTTGGACGATGGGCAGAATTTTTCGAAGGGCAGTTCAACTGGCCTGCTGCTCCGGCAACATCGGTCAGACTGTCCTGCCCTCCATGGCCGGTGACGACTGATCCACCAAATGAGGAGGAAGTCCGCAAGGAACTCCAACTCTTGAAGCGTTACAAATCACCTGGCCCAGATGACTTACCTCCGGCTCTTTTTAAAGATGGTGGTGACTTTTTGACTAAGGAATTGACGACGTTGTTTACAAAGGTTTGGGAACTAGAGAGTGTCCCAACGTCATGGAATGAGTCGATAGTTGTCCCTATCTTTAAAAAGGGTTCACGTCGTTCTTGTAACAACTATCGGGGGATAAGTTTACTTCCGATTGCGTCCAAGCTATTGGCTTCCGTCATTCTTCGTAGGTTGTTCAAAACCCGAGAAAGATTGACTCGCGAGGAGCAGGCTGGGTTTCGTTCTGGTCGAGGATGTATTGATCATATCTTCACCCTCCGCCAAATGTTAGAACACCGCCATACTTATCAAAGGCCAACAATCGTAGTGTTTCTTGACATCAGGGCTGCCTTCGATTCGTTGGATAGGACTGTTCTCTGGGATTGTCTATTGAAGAAGGGTGTGCCTGAGAAGTTTATTAACATCCTAAAAGCCCTGTATAAAAACACCTCAGGCAGAGTGAGGGCATACAACCACCTCTCTCCATTGTTCCATTCGAGCAGTGGGGTTAGGCAGGGTTGCCCAATCTCACCATTCCTCTTCAACTTTGCCATCGATGACATTCTGGAAACAGCTCTGATGAATGTAAGTAATGGTGGTGTGGATCTGTTGCCTGGAGAAAGACTTCTCGACCTTGAGTATGCGGACGATATTGTCTTACTGTGCGATAATGCCCAAGGCATGCAATCCGCACTTAATCAGTTGGCAATCAGTGTCCGTAGGTATGGTATGTGCTTTGCACCTTCGAAGTGCAAAGTACTTCTACAAGACTGGCAGGATTCTAATCCTGTACTCACCCTGGATGGTGAGCAGATAGAAGTAGTCGAGAAGTTCGTGTATCTGGGTAGCTGCATAAGTGCTGGTGGGAGTGTGAGTGATGAGATCAATGCACGAATAGTGAAAGCCAGAGCGGCTTATGCCAATCTGGGCCATCTTTGGCGCCTTCGTGATGTTAGTCTGGCTGTAAAAGGCCGGATCTACAACGCGTCGGTGAGAGCAGTTTTGCTCTATGCTTGTGAAACCTGGCCTCTCCGAGTTGAGGACGTTAGACGACTCTCTGTGTTCGATCATCGCTGTCTCCGAAGGATTGCTGGCATTCAGTGGCAACACCATGTCAGTAATGCAGAGGTTCGGCATCGTGTGTTCGGGCACAGAGATGATAACTCAATTGGTGTCACCATCTTGAAACACCGACTTCGGTGGCTTGGACATGTTCTCCGAATGTCGTCCCAGAGAATTCCACGTCGTGCATTATTTGCCGACTCTGGAACTGGTTGGAAGAAGCGGAGAGGTGGTCAGTGCATGACATGGTGTCGTGGGATGAAAGAAAGCTGCAAAGGACTGGCTTGTGTTGGTCCTTCACGACTCCCTGGCTGGGGTCCGAGAGATGGTGCTACACAGTGGCTAGAGACGTTATCAGATATGGCTCAGAATAGAAGCCAGTGGCGATCCTGCTGTAACCTTCTTTTACTTTCTTCATAAAAAGTGGTTGTGTCTCCCTTACCTGAAAGATTTCTTCTGATAGTACCTTTTCGTTCCGTCGTTACTACCACACTACCTTACTCCAATCTCTTCGTCATTGTTCTCTTTTTCTTTTGCGTTCCTTAGTTGTTTTTTTTTCTTTCTTCTTTCTACTTCTCTTCGAATTCCCATTGTTTTGTGTGGCGCATATATATTGGCGCTCTATTGTACCAATATTTATGTGTTCAAATAAATAAATAAATAATAATAAATAAATAATGAGCCACGTCACTCAGTCTTCAACCATTGGTTATAAGTTTATCCACCTTGTTTTTAGTCAGACATTTTTAATATATAATGTTTATTAAAATTACTTCATAGTTAAATTGAAGTATATAGTGAGTTCGAATGTATAACTCATTGATTGAAACCCAAAATGACCATTTAATATACATATATCAACTAGATAAGAAGGTTGATAAATTATTCTTCAGAAATGTCTGTCTTACTTATGTATGAAGGTGAACATAAAAAGTAATTAAGTTGTCTAGTCAATCCAATAACTCAATATACGACAATGATTTTGTAAAATGAGCAAATAAAACAACTTTTTTAAGTAAGATTTACACAAAAAAATTAATTAACAGACATCTTACCAGTGGAAGGATTTGTTGATTGTGTTAAACTAGGAAAATCTTCAGATGTAAGACGATCTTTATTAGTAAAATTGACATTAGCAACACGAGAAACCCAACTTCCACCCATTATTGGTCGTTTATTTTGTACGGAATTATTTGTGTCGTTTATCTCGCGTTCTGTCAAAGTAGTGGTTGACTCCCTAAGTCTTTGTATGGGTGTTTGAGGACTCCTAGACTCATTTGTTGCTAAGTGAGAACTTGTGGTCATTGGTCTGGTCGACTGAAGTGAAGGGAAATCTTCACCGGTCCATTCGGAGGGATTAGGTCGTCGGTATGTTACACTAGGATTGTCTTGTGAAGTAAGTCTACCATCAGATGCATCTACAATTTCAAACACAAAGCCGAAATAATTGATTTTGATAAACGACCGTAGAGCAAGCAAGTGAACTAGCAGCTCACGTATTATAGAAAACGCCTGAAGCTCTTCTAGGATTACTGACAGTCCCAAGCCCGAGTAAAAGTGGAGGGTTGGGCACGGGGTCAGCAACTCCATCCCGTAGAACAAAGCTTGTTAAAAAGCGCTAACGAAAAAAAAATAAACCATTTAAACTCTGTCCGGAGAGTTGAAAGTTCTTCATTCAGAAGAATTATGACGCCTCATGGTGAAAACCGAGGTCCTTCGGAAATCACGAGGTCGATGCCTCTTCTAATCACCAGAGCAACTGTTAGCGGGACATAGACTAGATTAAAGCATGCTCAATGCATGATTGCTTTGGTGCACGCTGATTGGCTAATTCTTATCCAATCAGCGCTAGTCGATAGTTGGAGAATATTCTGGATTTTTCTTATGTAAAAACTATAAATATACTGACGTTTTTCCCTATTGTGCTTCCTACTGGCTTCTGACTTGCTATTTGGAATATAATCTTTTTCCTGTTCAACCGTGTTTTGATTTGGGGACTTGTCGAGTGAATCTGTGTCCGAGAATACTAAGCAATAGGAATAGCTGGGCCATCAACCGTAAGAAGCAGAGTTATAACAGCAACAATTAATATAGGTACATGGACTGTTCGGACAGTGTGGGAGACCGTGAAAACCAATCAAATAGCTAAGGAAATGAGGAGATACAAACTGGCAGTACTCGGAACCAGTGAAACTCACTGGACAGAAAAGGAGAGATTTAGGATAGATGTTGCCGTACTCCGGTCACGAAGAGAGAAATTCTCCATACACTCAGGGAATTGTTCTAATGCTGTTCAAAGAAGCACGTAATACACTTATGGGATGGGAATCTCACAGATCCAAGATCATCAAAGCATTCTTCAAAATAAAGGAGGGAATCACAATGAATATTATCCAATGTTATGCACCCACCAATCATAGCAACGTTGACAATAAGGATCAGTTCTATGAGAGGCTGCAATCAATCATAGTCAGTCAGTAACAACGTAGAACGTCGTAAGTACGTACATCAGTTCGAGTCGCCATACCACACTAGCACAGAGATGCAGTTGTCGATTAAAATACCGAAGTGGTAGAGGTAGTAAGAGTATAAAAAGTAATCGGAAACATTAGGGTTTGAAGATGTTATTCAAGGAGTATAATCCAGTGAAATAAATTTGGAAAGAGAAAAAAAGGACAAGGAGAATTCAAATTATTCCCCGCAAAGCAAATACTTTGGACCTGTTAAATAAAGCATTTTTGCAAGATATGTAGGACCCTGTGGATACACTCGATCTTTGTGGTGAACTGTTAAAAATAGTCGGAGACTTTGTACCTGGGTAGCTGCGTCAGTGCTGGAGGTTACACGGTGGATGAGACCAAGTTAAATATAGTATAAGCCAGAGGGGCTTAAACCAGGGTTAGTTTGGCTGAAAAATAATAAGTTTACAAAGCATTGGTAAGAGCATTTCTCTCTATGTTAATGAAACCTAGCCACCCCCAGTCAGTCAGTCAGTAACAACGTAGAACTTCGTATGTACGTACATCAGTTCGAGTTGCCACACCACCTTAGCACAGAGATGCAGTGGTCGATTCAAATCCCGTAGTGGTAGAGGTAGCAAAAGTATAAGCAGTAATCGGGAAGATTAGGGTTTGGAGATGTTATTTAAAGAGTATAATCCAGTGAAAGAAATTTGGAAAGAGGAAAAAAGGGACATGAAGAATTCAGAAGATTAGAATTTGGGAGAACACAAAGAGTGGATGCACCTGCGCCATTGCAAACGATTTTGAGCCATATCATTCAGGGTCTCTAACCATCGGTTGCTATCATCTCGTTGTCACCCCCACAAACCGAAGATGTTTTGAGACTATACTTGATTATCATTATGGTTTTGTTTTTAATTGAACTGTTTCCAATGCTACTGTTGCTTATCTGTTTACTCATAGATTGCATACACTCTTTTCTTTTTCAGTTTTATCAGTCTATTTACGTTGTAATTTTTCGTAAGATAGTACACCAGAACTTATGTGGTAGGAATAAGTAACGAAAAATCAGTGTCTAAAACTATCTATATTACACGTTCACAGTATTTCGATGCTATAGATTCAGGTAGCTAAAAGGAAATAATTATTTAGTTGAAACTTTACACTTCACAAAAATTACTCAATCACAGACTTAGACAGAAATAAGACATACCAACAACGCCATCCACACTATATACATCAGGAAATATTTGGTCACGTCTCCTGAAAGCAGAATCAGTAGATGTTACGTGTCGTATAGAAATCGGAAGCCAGGAGTTGGGATCATTGGCCACTTCATTTGGATGTTCTTGAAAACGATGCAAGCCTAAACGATCCTCGGTTGCAAAACATGAGATACGTTGTTGAGCTCGACACTCGGAACATAGATGATGAGATTCACCGTAATGGTCTAATAATTCACACTGCTGTCTAAAATGAGTAATACGAACAGACAAAAGTATCGACAATAAGTAGTAAATCTGTAAATAACCAGTGATATTTGGTGAATTACAAAGTATGACGCCCTAAACATGAAATAAAATTTCAAGACGAAATTAGCAGAGATGAAGCATAAAACAAAATAATAATAATGAGTGATTAGGATAATGCTAAGACTGAGAATACGAGAAATCCACATTTCGGTTTTCGAAAAATACTCATAATATAACTACTCTTCAAATACAGTGCCATATGCAACTATGGTTTGCGTATGGGTGGGATCGATCAGTAGAAAATAAGTATACCAATGTAGGGTGTCGCAAAAGGTTAACAGTTAGCAACACACAAGAAACAGTGGAAGTGCGGATTTCCGAAGCATTTAAAAACTAAGATTAAAAATACTTATCACTTAATAATTAAAAAACCGAGCTATAATAGATGTAGAACTAACTTATTAGAAGTCTGTAATTATTAATTACAATCAGCTCATAAAACTAAACCACGGAGCTCTTATTTTCTTTCGCCTAGGAAGTTTCCTTTAGATAGGTATGTGAAATACGTAGATGGAAAGATGAATCTGTAATACCAATAGCCAATGCAGTAGGACGATAGGAAACAAAAGCATTTTTAATGACGATAATTTACGGTTTGAGGCTCTTTGTCAGCAGAAATTGTCCATAGTGTGTGTGCAAATCTTAAACTCGGTAATTAATTTATCCCGCCTTTAATAAAACTAATGCCATCGTTACTACTTGAGGACTTGTCTTGAGAATTCAACCTGGCTGTGCTAATCATCTGACAACGGATTGAAAACTTCATAGAAACAAACTGTAAAAACAAGGTGCTATGAGAGGAGTGGCGGGTCCTTTGTGAACGGAATAGTATAAATTTACATTGCCTTACCTGAAAACCACAAACTTTCCTGTAGTCATGCAGAGATCACATAAAAAGTGAAGATCACGAATATGGGTTATTAAGTCTTCCATTTCATAAAATCGTTCTTTACAGAAATCACACAAAGGATGGCCTTTCTTCTTGTTTTTATCCCATGAACGATGTTTTGTAAGGTCAGCTGGTTTCATAAGTATGAATTCACATGGCAAAAGCTAAACCGGTTAGTGAATTACGTATGAAAATACCCTGGCATATCGAATACAGAGATCACAATAAGAAAGCTGATGCTCCAAAGTAGTGTGTCTATTTAAGGCAGAGAGAGACTTTTTTTCTTCACCACAAATAGGGCAGACTGATTTAAGCATGTTTAGGTAGTGCTGTTCAATCTCCACATCAGGAAACATAAAATCAAACTTTGAGTCATGTCGAAGTAAGGACACGTCAATATTGTCGAAGGGAACGAAATTCCTCATTATCGCAACCTGTAAAATTAAAATTGATTGAAGTTATTATCACTTACTCTGTTAATATTCTGCCGACAAGTGGGACATTGTGAAAATTCGGGCTCATCAGCGCTTCCGAACTTTCGCAATTTCAGCACACACTTTGTACATGTAGGATGATTACATGATCCGTATGCAAAGTAGTCAATATCATCATGACAAATTGGACACAGTTTACCAACTGACTCAACAACCTCAGACATCATCCACGCAAATAATAGTATTTAACGTTCCGCTGAGACCTTGTCCGAGACCTTGAAGTACGGTGTCCAAAATCTTGTCTTCAGTCTTCAGTAATAAGGATAGAAGGTCTATCGACCTATATTAATCCTTGTAGTTTGTAATACTGTGGAGGTCCAACCTCGTTTTGAATATATCAACGGAAGGTGCTGATATTACGTGTTTCGGTAGAGAATTTCAGTATTTCACTACTTGGTGAGAGAAACGAAACTCCAGACGTAAACGATCTGATCGCGGTTTTTGAACTTTCTCCGAATGTCCTCTCAAGTGCTCGGCCCTGGATGGAAGTAAAAGATAGAACATGTTAATACTAATGTCCTCCTTCAGTGTACGATGAGCCAATATTAGATCACCCCGTACTCTGCGGTATGATAACGGAAATAAGTTGAGGTGTCTCAGTCTGTCTCCATAAGAAAGGTCAGATAGACCTTGTACCGTCTTAGTACCTCATCGTTGGACTCTTTCCAGCATCTCTGCTTCATACTTGAAACAAGGACTCGCTGCTTGAATTACATATTCTAAATGTGGTGGCACATAAATCGGGTATAATAGTCAAACATTTCATCATCTAGATACTGGAAAGACCTACGAATAGACCATAATACCCCATAGCCTTTCGCAGCAGCATCCTTACAGTGACTAGTGGTTCTGAGATCACTGCTTAATATGACTCCTAAATCTTCATAGTTTCTTACTTTGGGTAGCACGAATCCAGATATTGTGTAGTGATACGATTCATCATAGTTATTTAATTGCATCACCACACTCTTACTAGGATTTACTTCTAGTGACCACCTGCTCAACCATGCCACCAATGAGCTAAGACCATTCTGTAATACTATCCTATCCGACATACTGTGTATGGAATTCCATCGCTTCTCTGAGTTCGCCTGTTTATATACGAGAATAACCATTTCGGACTATATCTAGAATCCTTAACCAAATGTTTTTCCTATGATAGTCCAGTCTTATTAACGATTTACAGGTATTCCTAATCTTACAATAACTGGATCTGTATTGTTCTAAGCCAGTAGAGATGAACATATTCCAGTGCTTCTTCCTTTTTTTAAGAAGTTTCCTGGCCGTTTTCGTTATCTATGGTGGACTGTTATTCGGTCTTCGCGGTACCAGGTATGGTATGAACGGGGACGTACCTAAACTAAACTTACCATTAAATACAGACCATGCTTCTTCAACTGATAAGCTAGTATCTACAAACCAATCTGTCTTAGCAGCGCATTCCTGAATGTCTGATATGTTAGCTTTCCATACATTTGGGAGGGGTGTAACCTGATCGTATAACATGTCCCTAGTTCTAAACATGAATGACAAAACAGCGTGATCGCTGTTCATATGTGTCAAACGATTACTATGGAAAAAAAGAGGCCATCACTTGATCGCATCTTACAAGACTAAACTGCTCTTGAAGAGCCGAAAGTGTGCTCACAGCCCATTATGAGCAGTAGCGCACATAATTCTAGGATACATGTTGAGACAGAGCTTAAGTAAGGTTTTTAAGGGGTGCTCGGGAGTTTTTAAGGTGCCATAAGTCATAACAAGGTCAATTCTGAGATGCATTCACTCAGTGATTTTTCGCTATCGTGAGAAGGTTTCTATTTCCGTCTTCAGTATTCATAGATCACAATGGGTTACGTTCCAATGTATTTTTACCTTTTTAAAATTAGTGAGGGACCACTATGTTTTCACATTTGAAAAAATGTTGAATGAGACTCAAGGATTAGATAGAAATTTCTACTGGTTAGTTAGATAAAAACGTTGAACGTTGTCTATCTCTCCACCTCAGTCATCATATAGGTTTGCGGAGATAAGTGAAGCAAACCTAACTTGCAAATATTTTTTGTCCTTGTAAGATCCAAACTATGGTTTGGACTGACGGACAGCTGTCGGAATGAGTTAGATACGCGCCCTCGCCCGATTGAAACCAAAACAAAGTAATTGGGTAAGATGACGGTTCTATGATTTATCATAAATTTAAGTGTACATTATTACCTAAACAAATACAACCACTCAGCTATCCAATCAATAATTGTTCAATTGATCAAAACTAAACTACAATAAATAAGAAAGTTGATAAAGGATGCAAGAAAATTACCAATCACCACAAATAAATGTTATTCTATCCTGTCTGGATAGATCACGTACAGATTCGTTCAAAAGGTAATAATTGGTCGCTCTATAACACAGAGTGTTTTCAATTCTGGAAGAGTGCTTCTATTCATAGCATCTATCATAGCATCTGACGCGCGCTTTTGAAGGTTGTAACTTTTTTCACGTGGTATTATTTTATTTTCCTATTAGTTTTTCTCTTTAATTTAACACTTAATAGCGATAAATAATTCGTCACTGATAGGGTTCTATCAACTTGACACCTTATTTAGGAACTCAACGTCATAAATTAATCTTGCTAATTTTCACGCTATCTCTATCACCAATTAACGTTAATATATTCACTCTTAACTAATACTGGGTCTGATCCTAACATAAAACTTTACACGTTCACTAAGTTAAATTACAACTATCGCCGTCCACCTAATTAAACTTTGTATTTACATCACTTCCGATAATGTCCAGGCCATCTAAAAAACATATAATCTCTCCTGATGCCTATAGCACCTGCAAAAGATCTAAATCAGTCACTAAAGCGAGTAATGTGAAACCTTATAAACACACTGATCAGTCTGCATCCTACTCTGATCTTCCCTCACCCACACTAAACGTGCACCGTTTACTTGGACAAGACATATCACTACCTTGCATCTCGCTTGTCGATATAAATAAGAGCAGTCACAAGCCGTTAGAGTCGACATCATTTGTCAGTCCAAACAAAAGCACCACATGTTGTGAGCAGTATTTAGACAGTGCTGTTGACCCCAAACACCCAGCAATCTCACAATCGGTCATCCTGAATAGCGGCCCACGGAGTACATGTAAGCCTGCCTACAATAGCCGGCCCGATGATGTAGATCTTGACTACTCACCCAGACATATACCCCAGACACATCCCTCAACCAAGTGTGCACAAAGTGACCATCCGCTAGACACCTGCAACAGGCCTATATGTAACCATATCGACCTTAAAAACTTTGATATAAACTCCAATAATCTCACCACTGGTAGACCTAAAAGCAGCCAAACAGAACTCAGCCTCACCCAAACTATTCAACACCTATTACCGTACAAATATTTAATCAGTGTTCCAGAAAATCCCGATCTGGAAATTATAAAAAACACTGAAAAAGTAATTGACCATATATCATCTGAAGTGTTGAAAAGACTTCAGTGTATGCAGAATGTCATTGTGTATAATATACCTGATAGTACGAACATAAAAATCGCTAAAAATACTCTACTACAAGAATGTGGATTGTCGCAATCTTGGTGTGTAACAAGAAGATTACGTAAAGCACACACTAAAGCCTCCTGTCCCATTCTATTTCAGTTTGGTAGCACCACTGAAGCTAATCACCTCATCAATAGTCAGTCATTACTGAGGCGTATTCCAACATTTAAAAAGATTAGGATCATTCATGACAGGACCGCTATCCAGCGTCGAATCTGCAATGGAACACAAACTGATCAACCCAGCTTACGTAGCCGCGGCAGTTACAGCTCTTGTCACTGCACAAATCCTAAAATATCATACACTGCCCCCCCCCCAAAAAAAATGGAGGCACGTCGGACACTGCTATTAGTCCTAAGGACAAGACCGCACATAAAGCAGCTGCAACCACTCACCCTCAGCCCAAACACTCAGCTACCCCGAAATGCCAAACCACTTATGCCTCAATAGCGTCCAAGTATTACCCTAGCGGCCCCTATAAAATGCCTAAAAATGATCCTCCCAGGAATTGCGCTAACAGCTACAGACTCTCAGACACCGCTGTACGAAATAATACCAAACTCTCCGTAAAAACCCACCAATACTCCAGCACCCCTAACCCAAAACATGCACCTTCTCATAGCAATAGAATGCCCTACAACAAACATAGTGAAGTGGCAACACCCACACGTGATACCCATAAGTCATATGGTGTCAACCTTGTAAGCCCCATGAACCAACACAAAACTATACACAACAGAAACACCTCTCCTGGCAACAATAACAAGCATTCCTCCATTCCTTACCAGAAACATACAACCTCCCCAACTAACCACAATAGGACTAAAATTGCCCACCGCACACGAGGAAGCCATAACGTTGGCCTACTTGGGAACCCACCTACTGATTCTAGGTACTATCTAAGTCAAGCCACCCAATACAACGGTTTAGTCCCCCCTAATTCGACATACACACTATCTCATCCTTTTTTATCTCTCTCCCCCTCAACATTACTGCTATGGGGTCTCCAAATGTTGAGGGCGACAATCCCACTATTCTGAAACCATCTATATACTCCGATTTAATGGGGAGTGGCACATCCTACTCAACTTCGATAACTGTCTCTAGTCTTGAAAACTCCTTGACTGAACCCCCTGATCATTCTCCGGACACATTACCTAACCATTCAACTCTACCTTCCACTCTCAGACATACGTCTTTCACCAAAACCACACCCGACTACCCTTCTTGCATTAACCCTACTGGTAATAAACTAAACGCTCATCAATATGGAGTCAACGCTTCCAATTCTTCCTTTTCTCATGGCAAAACAGACAAACCACTCGGTTTACATTATACCCTTCTACTAGACAAACAGTCACCGTACCTGACACTTATGTTAATCAACGCTCGATCTGTACAAAGTAAGATGACTTACCTACGCACCCTATTACTTCTAAACAACCCCTCACTTGTTTTGATAACGGAAAGTTGGCTGTCCTCCGATACCACAGACACATATCTACAAATAGACACCTATGAGCTCTTCCGCTGTGATCGAGTCACCAAAGAGGGTGGTGGTTGTCTCGTTTATGTATCAAAAAATTTGAGAGCGGAAATCTACAGCGACCACGTCCTCAGCAAAC